GAGTCATCACAAAATCTGACTCAGACACTGATTGGTTGAGTTTTCGGCAAATGAGGAATAAATGCACAACTGCTGTCAAAGCAGCAAAACATAACTATTTTTTATCTCAGACCTCCAAAAATCCAAAGGACCCTAACAGATTCTGGAAAACCATCAAATTTCTCTCAGGCACCCCCCAATCATCTGACCTCCCATCACAACTTCTCATTAACTCTGAAGTCACTGAAGGCTCTTAATGACATTGTTGAAGCACTGGATGCTAAGGATTATTGTGCTGCACTTTTCTTAGACCTGTCTGAAGCTTTTGACACTGTGGATCATAACATTTTGTGTCATAAGCTCTCTGAAATTGGTTTCTCAGATCACACCATTGGTTGGTTCTCTAACTATCTCTCAGATCAGAGGCAATGTGTTCAACATAATGGTACTTCCTCCAGTTATTTAACAGTCAACAATGGTGTACCACAAGGCTCAGTCTTAGGACCCACCCTCTTTACAATCTACATACATAATGTAGGTCAAAACATCACCTATGCATCCATACATTTCTATGCTGATGACACAGTTGTTTATTGTCAAGTTAAAACTGTTGATAAGGCTTTCCAGCTTTTGAAATCTGCATTTAACATCATCCAGACAGATTTGTTCCACCTCAAAATTGTCCTAAATGCCGACAAAACCAAAGGGATGCTTTCTTCAAAAAGGAAGTTGGTCCCGGCAGTTCTTCCTGTGATTTCATCCTCAAATGGTGTCCCCATTGAGTTTGTTGATTCCTATAAATATTTGGGTATCTTGGTCGACACGCATCTCTCTTTTAAGCTCCATGTGGAAAACTTGGTAAAGAAACTGAAAGTTAAACTGGGTTTCTTTTTCAGGAACAGATCCTGTCTAACTCTGAATGCTAGGAAATGCCTTGTATCTGTGACTTTCCTTCCCTCCGTTGATTACGGTGATATTATTTACATGAACATTCCTATAAGAACCCTGCAGATGTTGGATGCTGTCTATCATGGTGCACTGATTCCTAACTGGCTGTGATTATCGTACCCACCATTGCACCCTGTATTCACTGGTTAACTGGACAGCATTAACTTCACACAGACTCTCTCACTGGTACATTTCATCTTTAAATCACTTCTTGGTCTGCTGCCTTCATACATCTCCTCCTACATGTCTCTGTGTGAGTGCAGCTACAGTGTGCGCTCTCAGGACATTATTACTTGCAGTGTTCCCTCAGTGCGGACTGAACGAGGCAAAAGGGCCTTCTCCTACTCCGCTCCTGTTTCCTGGAATATCTTGCAAAAAGATCTGAATCTCTCAACCTTGACCTCTCTAAGTGGCTTTAAGAATCTGTTGGACTCCTGGCAGGGACCAATGCAGACATGTTCCTGTTTTTAGTTTTCTACATTCGCCTTAGAATCTAGCTGTTTTTATATTACTTTTCTTTTTTTAGCCATCCTATTTGTTAAAAAAAAAATCTGTGAATTTTTATAACTGTTTATTGTTGTCGCTGTTGTGCATTGTTGTCATCATTCTTTTTTGAAATCAGGTCTCTCTTGTAAATGAGTCCTCGAGGCTCAATGGGATTTACCTGTCTAAATAATGGTTGAATGAATGTATGAATGAAAAAATCTCTCTAAAAATACAAAACCAAAGCAGTTTTTAACTCAACTTTGTACTTATTACAAACACTGGGAAGCCATATTGTTACCTGTCTCGTCTCACTCATTTTATAAACACAGTGTACAGGTGTCCAGCACTACAGGTCAAAGGTCAGGACTATGGGTGGGCCGGTTCAGAACGTGCTCTACCATCTTCCTCAGTCTTTGGAATGTGAACAGAAGGTGGTTTTACCTCGTCTTGGTGAAAAATAATCAAATGTCCTGCGAAAAGACGTGGTCCTTGAAGGCAGCAGATGTTGCTGATCCAAGCCCAGACTATGACAGAACCCTGATCTAAGCCTATATCAGGGCTATTCAGCAAAACTGCTCAGGGGACCACAGTTACTGAAAGCCAAGAGCTCAGGGGCTGTACTGTACATCCAGCAGTTATTGCCATTACCGTATTTTTCGGACTATAAGACACACTTAAAATCCTTTAATTTTCTCAAAAATCAACCGTGAGCCTTATAACCTGGTGCATCTTATGTGCTTACTGACCTCGAACCGATTTTATGTTATACCCGGTGCTCAAAAATCTGTCAAAATATTTTAGTTTCGCTTAATGCACCTTATGCGGTGCGCCTTATAGTCTGAAAAATACGGTAAATAAGTTTGTTTTATGGTTTAAAATCTAGTTTTAATTAAAAATGAACTCATTGGTGGGCCGAAGTGAGTTCACCCGTGGGTCTGATTTGGCCCCTGGGCCACCAGTTGAATAGCCCTGGCCTAGACCATCCCAGAACCCTGAACCAGACCTATACCAGAACAGGGTTGGAATAAATTAAATGCTCTTTAACTTCTTTGGTCCATTTCTTTTGGCACCATTGGTTCGTTTTTATCATATAGGGTCTTAAGTTTCCTGTCGGGGCTTTTTGAAGCCTGCAGAGTGACGACTGCAGCGTTACACAACCTGAGCTGTCAGAACAAGAACCCTCGAGTTCAAACCAAGCGAAGAACTTTACTTTACTTTGTGCTCAACTGAGGTTTTGACCACCGAAACTCCGTGCTTCTCTTTTTTCACCCTGAAAGTCACACAGAAGGAGTTTGTGTATCCTTTATAAACCAGGTTTTTGGCGTGCTGAGGCAGGTTTCTCTTCAAAAACACAGTGATACATTGTGCTGACTTTGGCTACAGTGGACTTTATGGGAATCCTTCACATTCACAGCTCACCTTAATGTGACAGAGTGTAGGAGGACGCGGTGACGACCTGCCAAATTACCCAAACCTTGAATAAACATGACCTTAGGATTACAAAAGCTCTGCCAGCACAGACAGAGTTCAGCCACAGGAGACCAAATTCTCCTTTCACTTACTGGTACTGATACTTCCCTGTGACTCTGACCAGTTGGGCAATATACTGTATATATATATATATAAACAGTATCTTAGATGTGACACTTTTTGTGGTCAGCTAATAAGCAAATAAAATAGCTAGACACCACCAAATCATAAGCAAATAAATAAACAAATGTTTTAAACAGCAACAGCCTTGTTTAAAGAAGAGATAAACCAGGAAGTAAGGGTGCACAGGGTGATGTAGCACCCCCAAATTGGATGCCAGAGAACAGGCATGTTCAAATACATACTTAAAGAATGAATAAACTGTATTATGAAATGTAACGATGTATTATTGTAACACATAATGTAATTTTTTTTTGTGTTTGTATGTCTAACACAGCATAATACGTATAACTTTAAATGTAAAACATTTTTATTTAAATACTGTGATGTGGTAAAATATATTACACAATTTGTAATGTGCAATTAAAACATATTAAATGTAATTTGATAGTGGTAATCATCATTTATTTATTGTTTTAATTTGAAATTACATTTGCAAGTAGAATATTGTTTTTTTTTAATATTTTTATGTCGTTAAAATTTTTAAAATTTACAGCAACAATTTACGCCAGTGGTTCACAAAATGGGGTCCCTGGACCCTTGGTACTTGGGGGTCCCGGAAAATTTTTTTTTTACAAACACGTAGATGTTTAACAACCCATTAAAATACATAAAAATGCAGGAAATCATATTTACTTTATTCAAAATTTTCTGGGGGAGGACCCCCAGATCCCACTGCACCCACCCTCTCCTCACCAACCCGCCCACTATTTGTGTTCTGTCATCGATCTGTTTACAAATTAAGCCCTGTTTCTTGGTATGACTATTGCTGTTATGATTCTGTTCAGTTTTATGTAAAACGTTTTCTGTAATAATTTAAAGAAGTGACAGCATTTATGTTCATTATGTGAACAGGTAAAGTTTTTAATTTTCTCAAAACTGTAATTTTTGGAAGTTGAAATAAATTTTTTTGTTAATTAAGTGTGTGTTGAATGAAAAATACCCCATGTTTAAAAGTATAAAAATTGTATTAACACTATTAAAGAACAGGTTTTAAGTATTATGTTACACAAATATTTCCATTGCATTAATGAGACAAGTTGAAGAAAATAATTTAATAAACATGAGGGTTATGAGGGCGTCCCGGAAACCTTTTCTCCCCTATAAGGGGTCCTTGAACCCAAAAAGTTTGAGAACCTCAGATTTACGCAACTGAAAAAAAGCATATTAAGACTTCATTTATCCAGCGAAAAAAACATTTGAACGATTTAAGCTTGTAACTGACTACTCTTGTTCTTTCTGTGAATCCAATATTGACACAATTTCACTATTTTTTCAATTAAGATATTCTGGACGGACTTACAACACTATATACAACATAAAACCAGACAAAGAATCACCTTTGATGAAAGAGACATTGTAATTTTTTTTTAAATAAGAAAGATATGGACAAAGACACAGTTCATTTGATACAACTGCTGTTGCTCCTCGGGAAATATCATATTCATAAAGCCAAATGGTCCAACTCCAAACCAAATATTGGATACTTCCTCCAAGAACTGTTTAAGTATGACTCAAATATCAAATACATCCCTAACAAGAAAGCTATCTATTACAAAGACAATTCATGACAAATTCAACATTCATGACCCATCTATATGACAACCTCTGTGTATTACTGTGTCACGTTCCCCTGGGCATTCTGTTTATATTTTCATGTCTAATTAACAATCAGTTTTTGTATGTCTTCAATTTTCAATAAAGATAAAGAAAAAAAAAACAATTAAGCCTTTTTATTGTGAAAATCCAATATTTCAAAATAAAACTCCACTGTTTACAACTATGACTTTCACGGAAACAGCTTTTAAGGTCGTACGGGTTAGATTGCCCGTTTCGTTTACTGTACTGAACATCGAATTTGGCTGGTCTACCTTAAATTTTTCTGCTCTCGCGCTACGGCCTTACATAAACCACATCGCGAGCGCGCGGCTGTTGCTACTGCTCTCAGGACCGGGGCGATGAGCAGCCAGCACGCAAAACTTCCGAGGACTGTTTCGTTTTGGTGATAAAATCAGATTTTTTTGTCGCGGCGGAAACATTCAGACGACTCAAATATGACAAGTAGTGTTAGTTTGCTAACTTTAAGCGGGTTGTTTTAGTGGAAAGAAACTATAAAAAGTCGTTTCGGTCTAGCTAAACAGGAGACGTGAACCAACCGTCTGAACTCCAAGGCTGAGGGGGGATTTCTATTCTAACGTTTTCAAGTGTATATTATTTTTAACAGGGTATGTCCGTCTTCGGATCCCATTTGAACTTGATTTGGTAAAAAAAAAAAAAAAAAAACGGATTACGAGACTTTTCTGGACTTTGGCTGGTTAATTTTACCGTCATGCTGCCGAACACGGCGCTGTACGCAGTGAAGAAACGGAAGAAGCCGGTGCAGAAAACGTAAGTTAACCAAAGAAAACGCACTTTATTTCAACTTTATAGCGTCTTTTATTGAAGGCACGGCGACAACATTGACTTTATTGTTAGTCTTGTTAATATTTCATTAAACTCCTTAACTGAGTGCTGTAACATGCAGAAGCTGTGATTATTTTTGCGCCAGAACGTGATTTTGTGTTGTACACAGTAATAGGACTGGAGTGTGGTTGTGTAAATACACTATTCACAGTATTCACAGTAGTCACACTATTGAGATCCACTTTTTCTTCCGCACGTTTTTCAGCATCTAACTACTCCCGCAGTTTTTGTGCTATTTCAACAAGTCATAAATCAAAAAACGTTCAGCTGTTTCAGGACATGGCTGCTATGGCGTTTGGTGCAACTTTAGCTTTTTGAGATATTTAGCCTTTTCTGCCATTTTTTTTTTTTTGCTCTCATTGAAAATGAATGGAGCTCATTTGACCATTCTTCATAACTTTTGATCTGTTTACAACCTTGCAGCAACACGTTTCACGTTTAGTTCTTTCAGCTTCCTTGTGCACGATTTTAAACAAAATTCAGCTAATTTCAGCTTATGCTCCTTTCAGCTGCATTCAGCTAACGTCAACATTTTTGTGCTTCTTCAAACTTATTTATGCGAATTTATGCTTGTTCTGCCCCTTTCAGCTTATTTGTGGACGTTTCAACTGTTTCTACATTTTCAGCTAGCATTTAGCTGTTTTCATGCTAATTTCATCTTTATCAGCTAATTCCACATTTGTTGTTATCATTTCAACTTTTTTCAGCCTAATTCAACAAAAACCTTTCCCCCCCCGACATCCTTCTAGTAATTTAAACTTTTTTCTGCTTGTTTTAGCTACTATTCAGCAGTTTTGAGCAAATTTAAGGTTTTCTCAGATAATTTCAACTTTATTGTGCTAATTTCTGGCTGTTTCAGCCTTAGTGGGCACAATTAAGCTCTCCCCCACTTCCTTTTGGAAATTTAAGCTTCTTTCTGCATTTCTTTAGCTACTATTCAGCTGTTTTATAGAAAAACTAGGACAACGCTGCCATTTTTAGGGCTATTCAGATGAAACTTGGCGTATTGGTAGCTGACAATGATCTGAATGAAAATCAAAAAAATTCAGCTAGTTCAGCAAATTTTTTCAGCTGTTTTGTGCTTCCTTCAGCTTAATTCATTATGCTTTTTCAAACGTCTGTTAATTTCAATTTATTCTGCTCCTTTCAGCTAATTTCCGTAGGTTTCTGCTATTTCAGCTAGCATTTAGCTATTTTTATGTTAATTTCATCTTTATCAGCTGGTTGTGCACGTTCTGCTTCCTTCTGATATTTGAAGCTTCTTTCTGCTATTTTAAGCTACGTTTAAACTGTTTTCTTGACATTCGTAAGCAAGAGGCGTTCACACTTGCATTTTCACAGGAAATTTGTGTTGTTTCTCTGCTGTGATTTGAAAAATGTCCACCCTGCAGAGACCAGAGGTCATATAAAGTCATGTCAGCTGCTGTTTCAGGATAATGGCGCTTTTAAGGGCCAGATGAGCTGCATCTCGACTCCTTTGTTGTGCTTTAAAATGTCTTCGTGTTGGAGGCACAGAAACTGAAACCCCACATCAGTGAAAGCATCACACCACCTTCTTGTCTGCTTATTTATATGAACACGTGCATACGTTTGGTTTCTTTGTGGATTCCCCTTCCAGGCCCCATGGAGGGGCCCTAACCTCACATTGATGATGACTGTTGTGATCTTTTTAGGTGTGGAAAAAAATCATTTGTTGTTGTATAATTTATAAATTAGGGACATTTCTATGCTGTACAGGAGGTGTTAGACTTTATGGATGTTTTGGTTTTAGTCTGAAATTGAAGCACCGTCTTTGTTTGTACAGCGGACTTTATTTTTGTCTTTTTACTTTATGATTGTTGTTGTCCACTGTTGTCATCGTTCTTTGTTAAAAAAATCAGGTCTCTCTTGTAAATGAGTCCCCGACGCTCAGTGGGATTAACCTGTATAAATGAAGGTTGAATTTGATCCAGTAAAGCAGGGCTATTCAACTGGTGGCCCAGGGGCCAAAGACCCATGGGTGAGCTCAGTTTGGCCCTCCAATGGGTTCATTTCTAAATAAAACTAGAGTTTAAACCATAAAACAAACTTAACTAATGACAATAATTGCTGGATGTCCATCCCCCGAGCTTTTGGCTTTCAGCAACTGTGGCCCCCTGAGCAATTTAATTGAATAGCCCTGCAAAATAGACTTCCTTATTTCATACTATATTTTTTTTGGGGGGTAAAGAACCCATAAAATATTTCCAGAAGGCTTATACGCTTTGTTTCTTTCACTCTTAACTGAACTGGAAAGTATTTTTCGAGATTTATAGTGTCTGTTGAATACAAACGTTGAAAATAAGACCCCTATTGAGGCCATGGAGAACGCTTTAGGTCGTTTCTTCAGTTCATTAATTCTCCTGTAAAATCTTATTTTACTTTAGCAGCAAAGCAGCACTTCATACAAAGGCCATTCGAATACCAGTGCTAAATATTTTCAGATGAAACGTTTAGAAAATTGCACCACATTAAACACGTCCTTCATTAGACCTCTAACTATGAAAACCTTTGTCAGGTTATGATGCTGAAAAGGAACCATTCTGGAGATGTTTAATCGGGAAATAGTCTTTGAAGAACCACTTAGGGTAGTTCTGTTGGACATTTGAAGATGTTGTAGAAAGACTGCGCAAAATAAACTTAAACTTTCACAAGAAGTTTGTTTGTCAGAGCTGTGGTTCCTAACCCTGGTCCTTGAGGAACACCAACCTGTATGTTTTAGTTGTTTCTTGTAGGGATGCACGATATTCTCGGCATGGTATCGGCCAATATTAGCGTTAAAGTTAAAAATCGGACATCAAAATAACTCACCGATATAAAAAGGCGCTGTTTTTGTATGACAACCCAGTGACAAGGATGTTTGCAGTGGCAGCACAACGTGATGACGTCACGTGCGCCTACCTGATCTCACGGCGGAGAGGAAAATTCAAAATGTCGGTGGCGTGGAACTTTTATTTTTGTTGGTGAGGATGTCGAATTCCGAAGATTTTTGGACTACGTTGAGCCTCGCTACATTGTCCCCAGTCGGAGATATTTTTCCGATGTAACCTTACCTGAGTTACAAGCTGACATTTCCGACGTCATTGAGAAGCAAATAGCCGATAGCACTTGGGTGAGTTTTTCCACAGACATTTGGACGTTGTGTTAGCCCCGTTAGCATGAGCAATCTTACGGCACAATGGATAGACAAAAACTTTGAACTTAAAAAGGTTGTCCTTCATGCACAAGAGTGCAGAGGATCCCACGCTGCAACTACAAACCCACAACAAGCAACATATCTGATATCGGCCAAAAATCTAATATGGTGCATCCCTAGCTATTATGCTCCAGCACACCAGATTCAGTGATTTAATTACATCCTTAAGTTCAGCTGAAGCCTGTTAATCACCCATTCATTCAAATCAGGTGTGTTGGAGCAGAGGAACAACTAAAATATGCAGGATTGTGTTCCTCAGGGACCAGACCAGTGTTGGGAACAACTGTGTTAGAGTGTTATTCTGGGTGGAGTTTGCATGTTCTCTCTGTGTGCATGTGTGGGTTTTCTCCAGGTACTCCAGTTTCCTCCTACAGACCAAAAACATGCATGTTAGGCTGATTGGTGGGAGTGAGAGAGTGAATGGTTGTTTGTCTCATTTGTCTCTGTGTCCCTGTGATGGACTGGAGACCTGTCCAGGGTGTCCCCTGCCTCTCGCACATTTACTGCTGGACATGGTTACCAGTGATCCCCATGACCCGAACGGGAAGAAGTGGGTAAAGATAATGGATGCAGTGTTTCCACTAGATAACCTGCCTTGGCGTGGCCCTCATCTTGTCCATGATTTTTGTTGATGGGGGTGGTGTGTGTGTGTGTGTGTGTGTGGGGGGTGGGGGGGTCTGAGCCACGCACTGTTTGTACTGACAGTTTTCGAGCGTTGGGAGGGTGGGGTTTCAAAATAAGAAAAGAGGCAGTGTGAGTGCTGCCTTTAGCTTTTTAGCTAGCGCGCCTGTATTGCGCGTCACTAGCTTAGCGCTATGTCAGTCCCGCAGGGGAGGAGGGGCAGTTCGGTTTGGTAGGCGGGGCGTTCAGTTCTGTTGACAGGGCAGGACATCCTGCTTGTATAATGGTAGGGGAAACACTGGGATGGATGGATGTGTCGGCAGTGAGAGGGATTACCAGGAGTTCATCCCTGCAGTTTCTTTTCGAGTATAAAATGGGCCATGCAAAGGTGGACGTCTCGCAACCATGACAGCAAGATCAGATGTCTTACATCTTGTCAAGTATAATTTCATCTAAAACATGTGATTCTCAACTGTTGGGTTGCGGGCCCATTTTCAGTGGGTCGTGGGACTATGCCAGGTCAAAATTATGTTAAGGAAATATACACGTTCTGACAGTTCTGTCAACTTGAGGATAACATTGTTGTATAGGCGGCTCCTCAGCTAAAGCACCATAGTTTTGAGTCTGTTTGAATTGTCTTCCAGTAGCTGGAGATTTTATTTTACGGTTGTGTGAAAGACTGTTGGGTTTGTTAAAAAGGCTGACATTACTGAAATGAAGAGCCTTGGTTTTAAATTAAGTCCAGATTATTGAGCGTTAAAGGTAGGGATGCACGATATTGGATTTTGGGCCGATATCCGATATGCCAATATGTTAAAACTTATTTGGCCGATAACCAATACCGATATATTTATTTTTCTAGACCTACTTACAGAGACTACATCGCTTTCTCTGCTCTGGAATTAAAATACTACATTATTCTGCATGGTCTTTATCAGTTTGGCCTGCTACCAAATGCAGATACCAAACAGGGGGCTGAAAATGATGTAACACTATATAAATTTATAACGTATAAAAAAACCAGCACCTTTTATATCGGTGAGTTATTTTTAGGGATGCACCGATCCACTTTTTCCACTTCCGATACCGA